TTCAAGGTATTCCTTGCAATTTTGTTTATAGCTATAAAAAAAAGGAAATTGTGTGAAAGTCCAAATGGAGATTGATTAAATGGCTACATTTTTACAAATTCAAATAAACAATTGAAAAGAATAAGGTAACTATATGTGTACAACTATGGAAAGATGTTCAAGATATATGGTAAAGTGTAAAGCAAGTTGCAAAATGCCATACATAGTGTGTAAAACAGCATGCATACGTGTGTGTGTGTGTGTGTGTGTGCAAATGCAAAGATATTCACCAAAATGTTAACAGTAATTAGCTCTGGGTGGTGTGACTGTGTGATTCTTATTTTCTTATGAATTTCTCTTTGGTTTGAATTTATTTTCAGCGACTAAAAAGGCTATTTTTAAAAGATGGAGAAGAAAGTGGAGAGTGAGAAAGAATTGGATAACCATGACAATTTAATCTAAAGCCATAGTATCCATTGCATAATAACATATAAACTGGGATGATCATCATGGCAATACTCATAATAATGATAGTAAACAGCACTTCCATGATCATTGCAGCATTATTTACAATAGCCAAGATATAGAAACAACTGAAGTCTCCTTCCACAGATGAATGGATAAAAAACTGCAATTTCATATATATATATATGAAATATATATATGAAATATATATACATATGAAATATATATACATATATATTTCCATATATACAATGGAATTTTTTCAACCATAAAAAGAATAAAATATTGCCATTTACAACAATATGGATAGAACTTGAGAGTAGTATGCTAAGTGAAATAAGTTAGACAGAGAAAGACAAATACCACATGATCTCACTTATATGTGAAATCTAAAAACCAAATAGCAAAAGATCAAGCTCATAGATACACAAAACAGATTGGTGGTTGCCACAGGTAGGAGTGATAACATAAATAAGTCATGGGGATGTAATGTACAGCATGGTGACTAGAGCTAATAATACTGTATTGCATATCTGAAAGTTGTTAAGAAAGTAAATCTTAAAAGTTCTCATTACAGCCCTGGCCAGTTTGGCTCAGCGGTTGAGCGTCGGCCTGCAGACCAGAGTCCGGGGTTCGGTTTCCACTAGGGGCACGTACCACAAAAAAAAAAAAAAAGTTCTTATTACACACACAAAAAAATCTGTAACTAATATATGGTGATGGATGTTAACTAGATTTGGAATTATTTCATGATATATACAAATATCAAATCATGTTGTATACTTTGAATCTAATATAATTTTGTATATAAATTATACTTTAATTTGAATTAAGTTAACAAACACTAAAGTTCTATTTAAATAAATGCAACAGAACTAGATATAATGAATGCTGAAACAGATTAACTTGAAATATTTCACAGTATATTGGTAATTAAAACAAAAGGTAACTAAATATACATTAATTTTATACATACTTTGGATTCAGTCATATAACATACAGAAAAAAAGCCCAGGATATATGCCAAAAGGTACGTGACTCTTATTTTCCTTTTCTATATTTTTGAATATTTCTATAATGAATAAGTATTACTTATGTTTTTTTTAAGTTTTAAAAATATTTTTTATAGAGCTTTCATATTTTAAAACACTGAAAAGTGGTTACAATAACACTAATCTGCGAAAAACAAAGGGATGAGAATCTTAACCATTTCCTCCAGCATGAAATTACCACCCGAGACCCTGTGCAAGCCCCTGCAGCTGACATGCAGCTTGCTGCAAAGTACTGAATGCCACACCAATACAAAACAAGCTCAAGAAACCCAAAGTACCTATTCTGATTTTGTGCCCTGAGATGGACGAGGTTATAAAACATACTGGCTCAGATTACAGGCTAAGCATGACAAGTTCGTCTGGTACAACCTAACAAAGAATTTACACCCGGAATGAGAAATTAACACATCTCATTTCCCAGGGTGGAATGAACTACAAAAGCAAAGAACCCATGGAGGGTTAAATCCTTGCCTATCTCTCTTTCACATGCTTCTGGATTATGCCTTACACACATTTCTCACATCACGATTGACCTATTAGTATATTTTTTAAAGGTGAATTTTTTTATTTTAAAATTATTTTAAAAGGTGATTATCTATCTTAAACCAAGATAAACTAATAATTTTAAAAGGTGAATGGAGGGAGAAGTGAGGAAGAGTGCATTTTAACAGGGTCAAACTTTTGGTAAATTTTCAGGTGAACTGGCCACCCCACCTCCCTCCCCTCCTGTTTCCCTCCCTCCCTCTGATCATTATGGCTGATAACAATAGTTTTTCTCTCCCGGGTAATGTAGATGACACATTTTTCCTGTAGCCTGTCTTCCTGTGAAGTGCAGGAATTCCTGCACTTTCTGGGTGCCCTTCCTGTTAACTTACATTTCAGATTTCCTCAAAAGGCATTCTACCACTTTAATATTTGAAAAATGTCAGCTCAACCCCAGACAGCTAATATAAACAAGCTGAAAAGCATACCACCTAAAGTTACAACAGTGGAAAACAAAATTTCTTTTTAAGAAAATCTTTCTCGGAATCTCACTGTTGGTAAGGCTGGAAAGAAGCAACCAAGTCCTTTCAGCTCCCAGGGAGTCTGTAATTCTTTTGCCTGTGCTGTGCCTTAAATTAGAGGTCTGTAAACCAGATTATAGTGATCTAGAAGGTTCGTAAAGGTCCTTGAATCCAACATGTTGTTAAATTCTTCAGTGCTAAGAGGTTGTATCCACCTTTCACTTTTCCTCCCATTTCATTTGGGTCTAGTATTACAAAGAAATTTGGTACTGCAAAAAATGTCTTGGCTATTTGAGAATACAGTAGCTGAATTAGGCCAACTCCACATTTAAAGTACAGGCCAAGGCTCCTTTGCCATTTCTGAAATGGTCACCTACTTCTCTCTATCAATAATTTTCCTTTTGGACAGGAACTTCATGTTCACACAAGATGCACCTTCCAAATGGGACCCAATTAATGAAACTACCTGATTTATTACAGTATACCCATAATGGAAGCATACCATGCTAACATCTCTTCTAGCTTCCCAACTCAGAAACTTGCTCTACTAGCAGGAAACTCTACCTTAGGAGTGTGCCTAAAAAATGCAAATAGAAACCCAATTTAGTTTAGACCCTAAGGTCCAAAGATAAAATTGCTACTAACACTACCTTCCTCATGGAAGCTTCCTGACTATCTCCCAGAGAGATCACTTTTATCTTTAAACTCCAACTTTGAGCATTTCTCTTCACTATCTATGCAATTATCTTGCATTATAATGACTTGCTGTCCCTCACCAACCACATGGTAAATTCTTTGATGAAAATGCTCACGTTTTAAATATTTTTGTGTGCACCTAATCCTGTGCAATATGTGGGAATAGATATATTATATCATATCATATCATATCATATTATATTATATTATATTATATTATATTATATTAATACCCATATACATACACGTCATAATACATTTATACATATATTAAACTAAACTGAATGAGTGTATATATACCAAATACAAACTAACTAGATGCCATCTCTTTAATACATCAAAGCATGGAACTGTTACCTTTCTGCCAATTACGAGAGATTGTAGGTTTCCCCTATATTAAGGAAACTCTGCACCTCAGAATGCCAATTTCCAAATTCTTCAGCTCTTAGCTTTTTAGATGTTCATGCTCCCCTAATACTCAAAAGAAAAGCAGAACCCTACCTCAAACTTTTGAGACTGTCTATCACTTTCTTCTTGGGCTAACATGTATGATTCCAATCCAGTAGAATTAAAAAGTGATACAACAACTCCAAAAAAAGTGACAGAAAGCATATGAGACACTTTAATTTCACTATATTTTACTCTACATACTTACACTGCATTCTTAGTTACATAGTGCCCCAGGTAGCCTAACTTACCTAGTACTTAACTCACCCCTTCAATGCATGTGTTCTCATATGGCATATGCTTTCTCTACGCTGATTTATTCTGAAACAAGTGATTTCGGGTCCTAGAGCACCTTACAGCACCCCCTCAGCTCTCTGATGCCATGTCAGAAATGTTATTTTTTTAATGCTCCCCAGCATGACAGTAAGCCTCCAAAATATAATGTTTTTTAAAAAATTAGAAAAAGAAAAAAACATTTAAAAAACAACACCATAACCCCAAACTTCTGATCTTTTATAGCTGATTAAATATATGCAATAACACTTAAAAGATTTCATTATGGTTGTTAATGAAACAAGATAGCCCCTCCACACTGGTGTAATGCTTCAAAATACAGTTTCCTCCCAATATTTTCCCCACCGAGATGCAACGCATCTCCCAAATGGGAAGACATAAAACGTCAATGTCTTCACTGCTGCTTCTAAATACTGTGAACCAATAAGTAATTAGTGTAAAGTGCAAAATCTGGGAAGAGAAAGATTTCTTGTCGGCTTTTTGTTGTTGTTGTTATATGCTATTATGCACACTTCACCTTTACTTCCTTTAAAAATCAAAAGTTGCTAAATGTTCAAAACGTATCAATGGAAATTTAGCTAAATACTGGCACAGCAACGGCTCATTCCCAAAGGAATATGAGATTACATTAATTTCCTATTAGTTTAACTCAAGTTTTACCTTTCATCTTCACCCAGACTTTTTAAAAGTTTGTATTTCTGCTGCATAGAAAATTCTTATAATATGCGTGCATACCAAATGAATTTTACAATTATATAAAGCATTGCACATTTAGACGCTACCAATCTGCTCTATCTCTCCTGACTGTGCAAAAGGCAAAAAGAGCTCAGTAATCCTAGCAGAAGAATGCAAATAACGTCAATGCACAGCTGAACTGCAAGCCCTGCCTTACAGGAACTCTGTGTCTGCAAAAAAAAAGACACATACTAAACAGGAAATGCAACTGAGCTGTGGAAAACCTCAAACTTAAACATGCAATCGCTAGGCGAAAATTGCATCCATGCATTCACAAATGCATGCACAACCCTTTGCATTTTTGCAATTAATGCAAATAGGCTCTTACCTTTCGGCTGAGACATTTTCCCCTTTCCTTTGATGGGGGAGGGGAGCACAAAAGACTTTGCCTTGCTTCTCTTCTGTAGCTAGTTTTGCAACAAAGATGCAAGCTGCAGGCGTGCAATCTTCATGCAAGTGGAGTTTCTCTTGACCGATGCAGCAGATGGACTTTCAGGGGATCAAGATGGAAATGCACACCTTGCAAAACAGACTGGAAAGTGATTTTTCCCCCAGTTGCAACGTTAGGGAAGGCTGTGCTGCAGCTACATGATGGGCCAGGGCTGGCAGCTAAAAGCTCCAAACTTGGAACTGAGTATCTTGTGCGCAGACGTCCTTCCTGCGAAGGGCGCGGGGTCTGCTGGGTAATGTAGTTCACAAGCAGAGTCCACCGGGCTCTGATTTAAGGAAACGTGGTCGCGCGGGTCGCTGAGCAAGATGACTGGGTGCGACAAAGATTGGCCCGGATAAGTCAGAACGCACTCGGTCGTAAGTGTTGGGCGAAAAACATAAAGGCCAAGGGGAGGGGGAATTTTTGTTATCGAAAAGCCCCTGAAGAATATGTTGGCTGAAAGGTTTTGGCTCGCCCCGAAAGTCCGTTTGAGTGTTTAGTATTTGCTGGAGCACCTGTTGTTCTGTACCTGCCTGTGGGTGTTTTATGCTCACACCTCCATTTTTAAAAACATTTTTCTCGCATGGAGAATCTCTTGGTGACTTGGCTGGCTATAGGTAAGGTTACCTTTGTAACTGCAGAGAAGATGAAACATGTTATTTAAAGAAATTATCCAGGTCGGTTATTTTTAAGTAACCTGAAATTCAATAGTGGGGGTTGGGGTGGGTGGGTTGGGGAGTTCTTACTTATTTGGGTAAAGAGGAAGTTCTGCTTTTGATATATCAAAGCTACCTTTATCAAAGTTAAAATATTTATATGCTTTTTCTCACCTGAGCCCCTCTACTGACATGATTGTGAATTAATCAGTAACCTCATGTTCCTATCAGCTCCCTGCTCCTAAGAGAAAGGGGTTTCTGTCCCTTGAGCACAGATGGCAGGGACTTACTAACTCACTTCACTGTCCAGGGCAAATCCATGCTGCCTGTTTCTTCCTTGCTTTCTTGCATACCCTATCTCAGGGCCTCAATGAACCAGCACTTTTTTCCTGTCATTTAACCAGGAGGCACGCTGTATGGAGATCCACTGCAGTGCATCTACTCCACTTTTCCGCACACTGATGGAGCACCTGCTATGTAGCAGGCCCTAGGAGAGCATGTAGACCCGCTTAGCCCATGCAGGGTTGAACAGCCACCTAGAGCTCCCTTCAATTTGCATTTTATGTGGTCAGTTTCATTGCTCTTAAATTGCCCGGACTCCCTTCTTTATGGAAGAGTTTTAATCACAACTTGTCTCATGCATTTTACTACTCTCTTTGTGCTTGTACATTCTCTGCATAGGCGTGCACAGTTCAGAGGGCAAATGGATTGCGTCCTGAAAGTCAGCCTGAAATCCACATTCCCATAGAAACAATGATATGTTCAACAGCCAGTACACAAATACACATGCATGTTAAACACCTTTGGCCCATAGATGAGCTGAACCATAGCTTTAAAAATAGCAAGATTTATCATTTTTCTTTCTGGGAAAAGTATAGTATTTTGAATTTCCATCAGGAAATCGGCCTCTCTGTGAAGCCCGAGATTCCAGAGGAAAAGGTTTTTCTCTTGCCTTGGTGGGAAGAGGGTTCCTCTGCCCTCATGCCTGGGGGGAGGAAGGAGCTGCCCCTCTGTGCAGTTGTGGGCCTTTCCTCTTCTTGCCAGTTTGTGGCAAAGCTCCTAGGACAAGAATCCCTCCCACGCTGGGATTGGCAAGAGTGAGATCTGGCACCCTTGTTCTTGTACTAGACAGTACATCAGATGTTTATCTTGAGGTGGCCTGTACTCTATTTTGAATTCCCCATATTTGAAATTTTCTGTATTTTAGACCTTTCTAAATTGCAAGTTTCATTTAACTCCCCCAGCTTCTAGTTACCTTGAAGATCAATTCCAGACTCCCTGGCATGGTATGATTGGCTCCTCAAGACCTGGCCCTGCTTCCTCTCCAGCTTCATTTCTCACCCTATGTTGATGCTATAGCCGAATCCAGGTTTTCTCCCTCCTTGCTTTGCGATAAACTACTCCCTCTGGCTACAAGCCTTTTCCTTTCTCTACTCTGCTCATTCTCATTCATCCTTGAAGAGACGGCTTAGCGGGCACTTTTCTTTCGGCCGCCTTCTGCAACACATCACCCTATGACCACCTTCAATGTGACTGAAGTATATACTCTAGTTGTGTAGCACCCTGCACACACCTGTCTCCTAACACTCATCATAAGGCTGACAGATGTTCATTTACATATTTGTCTCTCCCAGAAGACTGGACTACTGAAGATCAGAAATTTGTGTGTCCACTGTCCAGTATCTAGCATGTAATGGGCACTCAAATGCATGCTGAAATAATGAGTGGAAGAGATGAAGACAGGACCTATGATCATGGCTAACCTAGAAAAACTAGATTCCAATGATGGGAGTAAACTAGATTCCAACTGCAAGAGAAACTAGCGCACCTGGGGAAGGCCCCTACTGTCAGGCTACAGGTATTGGATTCTTGGAAAGAGACCCTTAGGTTAGGTCAGACTGGCTAAGAAAGAATTATTATAGCCTTGGCCGGTTTGGCTCAACTGTTAGAGCGTCAGACTGCAGACCAATGAATGGTGGGTTTGATTCTAGTCAAGGGCAGGTACCTCAGTTGTAGTTCAGTCCCTAGCCCTGGTCAGGGTCATGTGGGAGGCAACATATCAATGTGTCTCTTTTGCATTGATGTTTCTCTCTCTTTCCCTCCCACTCTATCTGAAGATAAATGGAAAAATATCCTTGGGTGAGGATTAAAAAAAAAAAGAAGAAGAATTATTGTAGAGGTATATGTGAGGTAAGGAAGGTGGTGGGAGTACAGTGTCACAACCAGTGATGACACCCCTCTCCCGCCCAGGATTCATTTGGCAATGTCTAGAGACATTTTTGGTTGTCACAGCCAAGGGGGTAGGGGTGGTGATGCTCTCATCTAGTGGGTAGAGATCAGCGTTGCTGGCAGTCATGCTACGATGCACAGGAAGCCTGCACAACAAAGAGTTGTCTGGTCTAATGTCCATAGTGCTGTGCTTGAGAGACCCTGCTACAGAGTGATACCATGAGAACTTAATGCTGCTCTATTTTTTAAGTTAATTCAAAGCTAATGACATTTGGTAAGACGTAACTTTTGATGTGAAAAAAACACTAGAATTTAGGAGATGTCTGTTCTTGTCCTGGGTGTAGAAAAAGTTAGCTGTGTCTCTTAAGGCAGGTCACTTCTCCTTTCTAGACCTCTTTTTTGTTCCACTAAAATAAGGAGGGGTCAGACTACGGCCGATTCCAATTCTAACATTCCACAGCCCTGAGCACAGCTCACATGTCTGATTAAAACCATTAATGATTTTTTTTATCCTCACCCGAGGACATTTTTCCATTTTTTGTACAGATAGAGTGGGAGGGAGAGAGAGGAAGAGAGAGAGAGAAACATCGACGTGAAAGGGACACATCGAGTGGCTGCCACCCGCACAACCAACCAGGGCCGGGGACAAACTGCAACCAAGGTACGTGCCCTTAGCGGGAACCGAACCCAGGTCTCTCTAGACCGCAGGCTGACGCTCCAACCGCTGAGCCAAACTGGCCAGGGCTAAAACCATTAATGATTTAAAGAGAGGAAAAGAGTTATGATCACAAATTCTGTTTTTTACACTGGCTAAATATCTTTCTGTTTGAGAATTAGAAGGGTTCCTGAGCCCCGGCTCTGGAAAAACAACTAATGACCATCATAACAGTATCACTGAAGAGATAAAGCAAGAAATATTCCTATTACAGTTTGCAGTATTGCCTCCCAGGTAGCAATAATCACCTGCACATGACATTCATGTTTTCCAACAGTATCTACTAGATGTCAGGAACATGGGAAAAGAAGGCGCCAATAGTTCGAGTCCGAATATCTACTTCTTTCGATTCTAGAAAATTATGGTATAAATAGGTATGTTATAAAATGAAGTATATCGGGAAGAGGCATGTAGGAGATTGGCTTACGGGAATGGATGATGAGTTGCTGTTGTACAATATATTTAAGTACAGATTTTCTTTTCACTGCATTAAAATATATCACAATGAGCCCAGCCGATGTGGCTCAGTGGACTGGGCAACATCCGGACTGAGAGGTCTGGGTTTGATTCCTGGTCAGGGCACGTGCCTAGGTTGCAGGCTTGATCCCCAATGGGGGGCATATTGGAGGCAGCCAATAGATGTTTCTATCTCTCTCTCCCTTCCTCTCACTCTCAAAAAAAATCAATAAAAACATATTAAAAATATATCTATCTATAGGTAGATATAGATATATAGATATATCACATTATGAATTATGACTGTTGACAGGAATTTTTAAAATCCCAAAATAGATTCAACTTAGCTTCTAGTATTCCCCCCAGTATGGCACAACTATACCTGAGACATGAATTTGTATCACTACTTCTGTATGTTAACTGATGCTATTCTGAGTTTTCACATTTCTCTGGCCCCCACCTAAGTCTTCATTATTTATTTATTTATTTATTTATTTATTTTTAAAATGTTTTCATTGATTTTTTTTGGGGGGGGAGAAACATCGATCAGTTGCTTCCCATATGCCTTGAACCAGGACTTTTTGGTGCAGGGGATGACTGGCACTCAACCAGCTGAACCACACAGGCCAGAGCCACCTAAGTCTTCACGTTTCTGGATTCTGTCTCTCCCATGAAGTTATCCTTGATCACATCCTTCTTTTATAAGAGCATCCTCCCTTTAAATTCTGATGGCATTTGTTAGCTATTATGGGCCATATATCTAACATTACCTTGCAGTAATACTAATTGAGTACAACTCTAACCTCGTTCGCTACAGCTCTAGTTCCTTTCATATTCCTAACCTGCTCCCGTGGGCAGACCTGCTTGCTTGCCTGGATTTGTCCATTGAGCCTAAGCTTGGGAGGAGACAGTTTCATATGTACCATGTGGCCTCAAGCCTATGAATGTCATACTCATAATATGTGCTCAATCAATACTTCTTGATCTGATGGAGGGATTTGTTTGTTGTTGTTAATCCTCACCCAAGGACATTTTTCCATTGAATTTTAGAGAGAGTAGAGAAAAGAGGGAGGTGAGGAGAAAGACAGAGAGAGACATTGATGTGAGAGAGACACATCAACTGGTTGCCTCC